CAAGGCGTGAATTGAAGCTTCCCATGCCGCCAGCGAGAATTCCCTCCAGCAATGCCGGTCCTGGAAAGAAGAGGTATTCTACGTTCCGTATATCTCGCAGCGCATGGTGAACAAGATTCAATTAAGACTTGCGAATTCAAGTAAGCAATTGTCGAATTTCTTTGCACAATTGCTTTAAAAATGCTCATAATACGGGCAATAATCTCCTCATAGAGGCCCTTGGCCCGGCGTGACAGCATAATCCATGCAATTGTCTTCAAAAGAAACCAATGCACTTGGAAATAATTTATTTTGTCCATCAGACAGTAATCATCCCTAGTTGAAGTCACTCCGTTTTTCCAGAAAAATTATCAGGCCTCAAAAATTATTCCAAGACACTCATATCGAGGCCAAAGTCGCTTCATACAAAGCATATTTTTTTTCATCAATATCAATTTAGTTGATTATTGGTATCATACCAGGACAAAGTAAAGGGACGAGAAGGTAAGCCACTTTCCCGACCCGAGGATTTAAATCCATGGTTAGTGTTGATAAGTACGACGATTTTAATTTGACGAGACCCCGATAGTTATTATCCTGATTGAGGTCAATATTTTCCTTTTTTGCCACAGGATGTTTTTCCAAGGATATTGAGTCCTGCAAGTAAGAATGTTGAATGTCTCTGAGAAGATGGGTTCCAAGCCAATTGTCCAATTCCCCATTTTGTTGGAGGGCGTGCGCATGTCTAGAAGAGGGTGGGTTTTCAGCCAGTTTCCCATTCTGTCAACGGCCTTGTGGATTTTAAGGCACACAAAGAGTTTCCAGTCAACTGGCCAGAAACCCATTCAGTGGGTATCACTATGGCCTCGTTTACGCACAGACTGTAAGAGTGGCCAATTGTCCCAAAACACAGCCTTTCAAAGGGAGAAATAGGACTTCATTTCCATCCCCATATATATTTATTAAGTACAAAATGAATTGCAATGCAGTTTAATCCGTTTATATGTATGTATTGACTGGAAAACCAATAAGTCACAAATGAAATTGTTACATGAAACAAGACAACGCATCACATGACAAGAGAAAAAGGAGGGGCGGGACGTGAATTTTTCAAAAATGAAGGGACTATCTCACAATCTTCTTAGCAACCAAAATACGCGATAGCGTCTTAAACTTCTTCGCAAGAAAGCAAAAGCAATCGTAAAATGGCAATAAAATTCGGGAGGTTTTTCCGATCCCCTTACAAACCGTGCACTTGTCAGTTGGAGCCAGGTGGATGTCCTCTTGGGCGCATTTCCGCCTGTTGGAGCCATGTCCACCCAGATGAAGATCCACCTGGCTCGAGAAACGCGTGGACCGGGTGGATTTCCATCGGGTGGGGCATCCACCTTCTATCAACCTGGTCGTTTTATCAGGAAGATGATTGAGAAATCAGGAAACTGAAAAGAACAAGTTATTCAATAATATATTAATTCGGCATCCAATTTTCCCTTTGAGTACATATGTGATTTCCATATATGATTTCCATGTGAGTCCAATATGTGATTCCCATTTGTCAGTTCAATATGTAATTTTCCATCGCTGTTAGCCATAAAATGCCATGGTAATTGCCTCGTGAAGGAAGTGCATAAGAAGATGCGACAAAACATTTCGATGAAGATGGGACGAACAAGATCGATTCCTAACTTTCCGTGTCCTTATCAAGGCAATAACTTCCGCGCCTTAGGTTTTCCTGCATGCGGATGAAATATAATGCGTTTCTTGATGAGATAAGGAACTGCCATGATGTATCCGCACCAATATTTAACCAGCCTCAATTCCCGACACCTGGAAGAAGAATAAAGGTGAATATGATATGATAATGCAAACACCCACTTCATTAAGCTGAATACACACCAGAGTCACTCATGCGGCGCAGTCTAGTTTCCACAGCACTCATGAGCTCTTGGACGAAGCTTTCGGAAACGTCCTTCTCCACGTTTTTTACTCTGGGAGCTACAGGTCTTGCCTGTGGGGAGATCAGTGGGATTCTCTTCTTTTTCCACAATATTTATTCTCATGGATTGAAGATGCTGCATGACGGTGTTGGCATAGTGGGCGCTTGCCATGTCCGGCCAGAAGATGGCATCAATGGCAACAATGAAACCGGCGGGGGGTGGGGGTGGCGGAAGGGAGATGATGCGCATGCGCGAAATGCGGTGATCCGAAACCGGCTCTCATCCGCAAGAGTGGAGGATTTATTTGCTTCGCTTGCTTCTGTGAGTCTTCGAAACCTTGAGGGTAGTCCTTGGACACCCCTTATGAACGTTGATGTCTTTGAGATATTTAGTTGAAATTTTTGGCTGATGTTGGTTGCAGTGTGACGCATGGTCCCACCGAGTTTCAGCCTGATGCAGCCAAAAGGGCGAGCAGAAACAGAGGCGCGATGCCGTTACTGCCTTATTCAATGTTGGCCGCTCTGCGAGCGAAATCGCGAAAATGCTCAAAGCACCCCGCTCGACTGTCCATGCAGCTATCAAACGACACAAGGAGACCGACGCAGTGAAGTACCGACCTAGGAGTGGCCGCCCTTGCCCAGTCGACACTGTGGCAATGCGTCGCAGGGTCGATCAACTGCTGAAGCGAAATCCTCAGCGCTCACTGCAAAAACGGGCAAATTGATTAGGGTGGCAGTCACATCCCTCCGCAGACTGGCCAAGGGCAGTCTCGAGATGCAGGCCAACAAGCTGCAAAAAGTCCAGTTCATTTTTGGCAAAAATCAAGATTCTAGGTTGCAAAAAGCGAAGGCACCGCTACAGCGGTGTCAAGGACTGGGAATCTTCACTGATGAAAATCAGCACTCAGAACGACCGGTTCGGGCTGATGAATGGGCTCGCTGCGGCGAGTCAATGTAGTGCAAAAAGACAGCCTCTGTCATGGTTTGGGCAAGAGTTACGGTAACCGGAAAAACACCACTGCATTTTCTCACTCCTGGCGTCAAAATCAAAGAAGGAATATCACCAGAAGGTGCTCCAGAAGGTGCTCCAGAAGATGGTGAAGCCTTGGGCTGGGGATTGGGACATTGAAGCTCTCTTTGCTCTAAGCACGGGCCAACTCCTATTCCTGACGAACACGTGCGAAAGGCAACATCGAATTTTAAGAAGCGTCTGGAGGCTGTTCTAAACAAATAATGCTTTCGCTAAATGAGATATTCATCATCGTGAGGGTTCACCACGCCATCGTGGAGCTCGGACCCTTGGCCAAATAATTAATGAGGTTTCAAATGTTTTCGTTCCTCATTATTACAATTATGCAGCTTTTTTTTTACGTTCTACTCGACTTTGAATGGGAATTTTAATCTTCCTAATATACGCTAACCTTTCGATGAGCCAATACTTTGCATGAAACCAAAAGCAATCGTAAAATGGCAATAAAATTCGGGAGGTTTCCGATCCCCTTACAGACAGTCCACTTGCCAGTTGGAGCCAGGTGGATGTACCCTTGGGCGCATTTCCAAAATTCCATAGTAATTGCCTCTTGAAGGAAGTCCATAAGAAGATGCGACGAACGTCGCATCTTCTTATGCATTTCCTTCCTGTAACACGTCGAGGAAGTTGCGACAAAACATTTCGATGAAGATGGGACGAACAAGATCGATTCCTTACTTTCCGGGTATTTATCAAGCCAATAACTTCCGCCCCTTAGGGTTTCCTGCATGCCGGCTGAAATATAATACGTTTCCTGAAAAGATAAGAAACTGCCATGATGTATCCGCACCAATATTTAACCAGCCTCAATTCTCAACACATGGAAGAAGAATAAAGGTGAATATGATATGAGAATGCAAACACTGCTGAGTGGAACACCCACTTCATTCAGCTGAATCCACACCAGAGTCAATGATGCGGCGCAGTCAAGTTTGCACAGCTCTCATGAGCTCTTGAATGACAATGAGCAAAATATATATGAATCTCCATTTCAAATGAATTTCTAAAATTACATATGATTGTGAAGTTATTTGTGGTTTGAATCAGGCACGTGATTTTAGAATTACTGAAAATCCACATTACGCCGCGGACACGATCGAAGCAATTGAATCGTGTAACAGGTCCTTATCGGCCGGAGATAGCGTTCTCGCGTCGAACTCACGCCCGTCAGTCCATGTTTTATAGTAAGCTCGTGAATCCCGTGGATTCCAGAAGATCGCGGTGAGTTTCGAATTTTCACGCCGGATTTGGATCTTCCTTCTTCGTAGTTGATGGATGTGCTTTCTTAATTTAATTGCTTCTCGATTTCTTAGCTCGCTTGAATATGCTTTTGTCATTTTGTATTTTTTAGATACTTTTCTTAAAAGTTCTCATGACTGCTTTTTTTTTACTATTTACTATACTAATACTTCTTTTACTCTGAAACTATTTTATTCCTTTTTTTACTGTTTCTTTTCTATATTTATGCTCACTCTCTCTACTTACTGGAAAATTTCGATATTACATGGGTGGACAGCGAATCATTATCAAAAGTCGGACACAAACATCTCACGTCCCATTATTGTCCCATTACGTCCAAATTTCATACATGGGTCTTATGAAGAAAAATTGCAGTTCAGTCCAGGACTAACACGTGACCATCGATGGGGAATGGTAACTTATATTCATATTACTAGTATTAAATCACGTATCAAGTCGTATGTATCGCTCCGCTCTGGTGTAGTTTAAAAATATAATACCGTCTTGTTTTGCAAGCCCATATCCATCCCCCCCCCCCCAACTGCCACTTCAATTTTCTCAATTTCGAGATTGTAAGAGAAATTAAGTTCTCCCAAAAGTCTCGAAAAATACACCGCGTTGGTATAACTTAGAGCAAGCCAAGTTTAAGTTTCCTGACGACATTGTGACATTTCGACCATTTCCATTTACTACGGCCTAATTTTTTAATGTGTCAGAACTTCGTTTGGTCAAGCACCCCACTAAAAATTGTCCGTGTTTGAAGGTGCATATTTTCTTTTTTTTCTTTTTGTTGAAGTCTGCAGCATGTTTTAATTTTGTTAAATAACTGTTCATGGCTTTGCCTTGGCAGGAAGAATTTTAATGAAACTTCAAATTTGTATTTGAAAATTTCCTGTCTTGGGTCTCCATTGCCGTATTCGACACACCCGAAAAGAAGACGAGAATCCGGCGAAGATGGAAATCAGAGAAGAAGGCGACGAAGCAGAGAAAACCAGCTTCAACGCCGGGATGAAGAACCTCGTGACGACGATCAACAAGCTGCACGACGCCCTCGCGTCGACCCACTCCGAGGCAGGCCAGCCGACCCGCTTGAACCTCGAACTCCCCCAGATCGCCGTCATCGGCGGACAGAGCGCCGGCAAGTCTTCCGTCCTCGAATCCGTCGCCGGCAGGTACCCGTCCCTTCGCCCCAGGCCCGAGCCATGCTCTCAAGTGTTTCCATATAAGCAGCTAAGATGTATTGTTTCTTTTCCTTTCAGGGACATCCTACCCAGGGGGGAAGGCATCGTCACTCGGCGCCCCCTCATTCTTCAAATGATCCCGAGCCAGGAAGGTATTGCTTTTTCGTTCCCTCTTTTTCTTCATATTCCTACGATTTATATATCATTTTTATATTCCGTTATGATCAAATCTTTCGACTCTCCTCGGTTTTCCCTCGACAAGAATAAGAGTTGTGATTTTGGCTTTCGATGGTTGTTTGAGGCTAGGAATTGCGATTTTTCTAAATTAATTATATTACCCAAGAAGGAAACAAATTTTTCAGGCGATAGTCTGAATAGTGCAGCCTTTCTCGTTCGATACGTTATATCCGATCCCTGAGACATCTTCCACCCTTAAACGTGAAATATGTCACATGGTTTTTAACATCCAACACCTGGGCCGGTTAGCCCTAGTGAGATGTCGGGGGGGGGTCGGGTCCTCATTTTCTCCTGGCGCCATTTACCACTTCCGCAGAGTTCATGGAGTTTCTGCACCAGCCGAATAAGCCATACACAAGTTACGAAGAAGTGAGAAAGGAGATCCGAGCGGAGACAGAGAAGGAAGTGACCGGCAAAGCCATCTCCAGCAAACCCATCCGCCTCCGCCTCTATTCCCCCGACGGTCTGTCATCCACTACCTTCCATCCATTCCCCCCACAGAGCTGCTTTCCTCACATCCATTCCTGGGTTTGAATGTGGACAGTCCTCCAGCTGACTCTGGTGGATCTGCCCGGGATGACGAAGGTACCCGTGGGCAATCAACCGGATAACATCGAAAAGCTGGTGAGTCCCTCTGCTTTTTTCCGTTCGGATTCCGTTTTCATTCATTTCTATGAGAGCAACGATAGATTTGCAATCATGAAATCTCTGCTTCTCCCGTATCTAATGTCATATTTAAGTCAAATACAGTATCAAAAATTTCAAATGCTTCGTAGCTCGCCCTCAACAGCCTGACGTTGTGTGGGGAAAACACGTGCATTTTCCTGCACGCACATGACGTACTCCATGTACACAGCAAAGTAGAAACGTACAAGGAGAGGTACAAATGCGAGATTACAATTTTGTGTCCCTCAGGACCACTTGTGTGGTCCAGACGTACACATGTGTACGTTGCAGACGCAGATGTCCGGGTTCTCAATGCAATGCTCAAAATCGGCATAAGATGGCGTTCATGTTCCCCAAACTTTCCAAGTCGAATCAGGACGCACCGGACCTTTGGAGAAGAGTTTCCTTCCTTTTCCTGTATTCATCTTATCCTGATATTTGTAAAGGAATATTTGGTAAAAGAATAGTTATCATGTTTCAATGGCAATTAATGATTCTGGGAAATATTTAATGCTGCGGTTTTGTACGGGAACAGAGAAGTGTGAACCAACGGGTTAAGAGTTTTTTCTCTCTAGAAAATGAGCGGCCAACGCTAAATGAACTTGAAACGTGGTCTCAGTAACACAGGGTGATGTTATCACCTACTATCCCCATGATTACTGGAAAAGACACCGTTCATGAGACAGCCCATTGCGAAATGGAGACGCTGTCTGCGTGTTATCAGTGACAGCTCCCTGCCTGTCAGAGACTTGGTGCCATTAAAGCTCCCTTCAAAGCTGATAATTGAGGTCCATGAGCAGGTTTTAAAACCCAACTAAGCCCGAAACGAAGAGAGATAAGAAAGGTACACATCTGTACCTCATTTTGCTTCTGTACCTTTTCAACGAACGTATTTTAGGACATACGTTTGTACCTCTTAACGTATAACATATGTACCTCACTGCACATTCCTACTTTGTTCTGTACATTCTCCTCGTAATGTGCTTTTTTTGCATCGAAATCAGACCCTCGGGCAAAATACAATTTTCGAAACATGATCTCTCAGATCCAGGCCATGATTCTGGAGTACATCCAGCCGGAGAACACACTGATCCTGGCGGTGACCTCGGCCACAGAAGACCTGGCCAATTCCGACGCCCTCAAACTCGCCCGCCTAGTGGACCCTAAAGGTTCGGTTCACGAATCGACCGGTTTCGTGTCGTCCGATCGACACGTTTCACCAACCTGCGCCGACAGGCAACTAACCGAAAAAGGTAACGATGATTGCAGGTGAGAGGACCATCGCGGTGCTGACGAAGCTGGACCTGATGGACAGAGGCACGGACGCCCGGAAAGTGCTGGAGAACAAGGTCTACCCCCTCAAGCGAGGCTACATCGGCGTGGTGAACAGGTCCCAGAAGGACGTCGAGGCGGAGAAGGACATGAAGGCCGCGAGGGAGGACGAGGAAGCATTCTTCGAAGCTCAACCGGCTTACAGGTCTGCTTGCATTTATTCATTCATTCTAATCCAGGAGAATTTGCCTATCGAAGGGATGAATGCGACCGAAACGGCTCGATGACGAACAGATCGAGAGGGATTCAAAGGTCCTAATGTCATTTGTTGGGAGGACACGACCGCCTTGACCAAAAATGACGGTGTCCTCTGCCACTAGGCCTGTCGCCGCCTTCGGGTCACCTAGGGTCACCTAGGGTCGTCAGAACAAAAGTCAACAAAAACCAGGCGGTTAAGCGTTCTACCAGGCGTATTTTTTCATTCATTCGCCAAGCAATCCGAATCCCGCCGTCAAAACAGAAACCACAGAAATATATATATTTTTAGCTCTTATCCAACAGCACGAAAACACATTTCGATCATCGTGAAGGCCGGCAAAACACGCCAACGAGATCGCGTCATCGTCGCGTTGATACCAAATCCACAATGATGCCACGATGAGGTTCTTTCTCGATTCGCCGAATGCTTATTTCCTTTACTTATCACCTTCTGGGCAAGGTTTTGTGCTCGCGTCCCAAACTTTTAACTTGTAACTGTCTTGTCATGCATATAGCCATAAGACAGGGTGATTCAAAAGCAACTGTGCACTGTAACGACTGTTAGCCTTTTCGGGTAACCCATGATGAATGATCCTTATACTGATGAATTCAGTTGCCTCATATGTATTTTTTTTTGCGGAGTTTCCCTTGTATTGGATCGGTAAAAACAAATTAATTTTTTGTCTCACTTTTCTTGCTTGATTCCTGGTCAGGAGTGCTACCTTACCACCACCGATGCGGGGACATTCAATGGTGCACTCTCCAAAGTGCCTTTTTCACAGATGTCTCTACCGCGCTGTTACTTTTGAAACACCCTGTAAAAATTCTGCGTTTAGTATTTACGCATGGGTCTATAGAAGCCCCATCTGAACGAAACGCTTGCGCCCTCCACAGCGACCTCCTCCACCAAGTGGGCACGAGGAGGCTCCAGCAGGTCCTCAACGAGGAGTTCGAGAAGCACATCAAAGAGAAACTCCCGGAGTTCCGCTCCAAAATATTGCAGCAGAAGTCCCTTCTCCACGAGCGGCTGGAGGCATTGGGAGCCTTCGACGGCGAGGCCCTCGGCAACGAAGATCATTTTCACCTGTCTGACCGTTCTTCTTCCCTGCTCGAACTCGAAATATAAAAAAATAAGAATATCAACATGAAAAATAATTTAGATCATTTGGATGATAATTTGGATAATAATTTGGATAATAATTTGGATAATAATTTGGATAATAATTTGGATAATAATTTGGATTATAATGTGGATTATAATTTGGATAATAATTTGGATAATAATTTGGATAATAATTTGGATTATAATGTGGATTATAATTTGGATTATAATGTAGATAATAATTTGGTTTATAATTTGGGTTGTAATTTGGATTATACTTTGGGTAATAATTCTGGTAATACGTTGAATTATAATTTGGATAATAATATTTTTCAGAGTAATGAAGAGATTCACGAAGAGACTGGAGGCCTGCCTCAAGGGCTTCGACGACGACGTGGACATCCACGAGGTGCAGCTGGGCGCCGTCATCAATCAGAAGATCAACGAGAAGATCATCCACGGCATCCTCAACGAGGTTGGAGGGCTCCATCCGGCACTAGACTTCGCCACCCCTCCCCCTTTTCGGTGTCAAGTGATCTGAACGTAACGTAACGGTGACGTGACGGGCGATTTTTTTTAACTTGCTTCCATTTGATTCTTAAATTTCCATCCAAGTTTCGACAGGCGAAGCCATATCATATTGGAGAAAAGATAAGGTAACTTGGGCCATTGGCCCATTGGCCAATATGGCCATTGGGGCAATATGGCCAATATGGCCATTGGGGTAATATGGCCAATATGGCCATTGGGGTAATATGGCCAATATGGCCATTGGGGTAATATGGGCCTTCACAAGGAATCCCCATATTGACTGAATAATTTAATAATTTAATGATTTAATAATTAAAAAAATAGTTCTATCGAAGAGTACATGCAATTATCGAAATGCGTAGACCTGTTCATCGATCCAGTTCCCAAAGGAACTCGGGATACATCGATGTCTTGAAAGTCGTATGCATGCGATTCTTTGACTTGTGACCGTGGAACTAATATGAGCCTTAATATTATTTTGGCATGTGCCAAAATGCGCAGGAGAACCTGGTGCCGACGAACGAGGAGACGCGGACGGCCCTAACGAACCTGGTCGGGATCCACAATTACACGACGGGTTCGCAGCAGGCGTTCCAGAGGCTCGTCAAGCACATGGCGAAGAAATTCCTGGAACCGATCAAGACGTCCGTCGACCTCATCGCGGAATTCGTGGGCAGGGCCGTCGAGAAGGCCGCCGACCAGGTCGACGAGATCGAGGCTGCCGATCGGCTCGATCCGAAGGATTTCTACCGCTCCAAAAAATTGCTAAATTTAATTTAAAAGTTTTAATTTCAAAATTTTGAATTTTAGATTCTTAAATTTTTGGTATTTAAATTTAATTTAAACGTTTTAATTTCAAAATTTTGAATTTTAAATTCTTACAAGTTTTGGTATTTAAATTTAATTTTAAAGTTTTAATTTCAAAAATTTGTATTTGATTCTGTGTGAAACAGGAGATCCGGTTCTACCCGAACCTGAAATTAGCTGTGCTGTCCCGGACGACCGAGATCCGCCACGCAGACAAGAGCAGGTGCAAGAAACGCCTGGTGAATTACATTGTATTTGATTCTGTGTGAAACAGGAGATCCGGTTCTACCCGAACCTGAAATTAGCTGTGCTGTCCAGGACGACCGAGATCCGCCACGCAGACAAGAACAGGTGCAAGAAACGCCTGGTGAATTACATCGAGGCAGAATGCGCCTTCGTCAACACCAATCACCCTTCGATGAGGCGGTGAGGTCTCGCCCCTTACGTCTTGTTAAGCATGGTTAAGCATGGTTCAGCATGCTCTGGATGTGTCATAAGCAATGAGATGTGTCTTGTTAAGCGCTAATGGCCTCAAAAAAAATGTTAGCTATTGGTATATTTTACAAAAACTTGCATTTTAAACTGCCGATTATGACTGTTGTGCCGATTATGACTGTTGTGCCGATCTGGTTGTATCTGTTCATGCAAACAAGGCTCATAGCTGTAGGAAAGCTGTTTCAATCGAGGTGGAAACATTTGCTTAAGAGCGTGAGCTCAAACTTTGCTTGGTCATTTCTCAGACGAAGGGGCAATGAGAAACAATTAGCAAGTAATTATTCGCAATTCAATTAACGATGAGGATTTAACGATGAACAATTGATGATGAAAGAATCTCTTTTTGAAAATATCAACGCCTCTGGATTGGAGTTTTCATCATTGAGTTGAAAACGGAACAGGAAAAATTCCATGGGCGAAAAAACCTTAGCAGATTTTCAGCTGATTTTCAGCAGAGCTCCTCTCTCTTTCCCGATAGCGGCCGTTGGTCTTCACGTTCCGGTTGGTCCACTCCGCCGCCGAACCCCAAAACGGTGAGGCACGGAAAACTGGTAATAAAAGTAAGTATTAAAAGAAAAAAAGAGATTGCCAATTGACCGATGTCACTTGAAAGGACGAGCCGAGCTTCCACCAAGGCAGTCTTTTCATCGGGGCCGAACCCTGGCGGCTCAACATCACGCGAAGTCGTCTTCACTTCTCCAAATCGGGTGGGTCAACGAACAGTTCAAAGCATGATATGGTAAGCCCTTAAAAAATATTACAGGTCACTAGATATTGCCTTGTGGCGGAAAAAAACGATACCATGCCTAAAGTGCGAACGACTAAAATTCCAATTTCTGTGTAACTATTTCGGTGGCCTCCAACGAGACTCAGAAAATAACTGATTCCCGGTTGGAATGTGCAGGCATGCAGCGACGACTGAATAATGGAGACATCCAGATTGGGGTGAAGAACGACTACAAGAAATGTGCGAAAACGTTCATCATTACTTGGATCGACGACGGGTGAGGGAAATGGATGATGTGTTCGTTTTCGGTATTTCTGGTGGGATCCCCGTGTGAGGTGGGAGGAAATCGGGTGTGGGGTGGAAGATAGGACGTGGAAAGATGATTGCATTTTTCTTTTTTGAGATTCCCATGGGACGAGAACGCGCTGATCATGGAGGCGGTGTACGACGGAACGGAGGGGAAAGAAGTCGGTGAGCAATGGGAATCCAAGTTCAAAGAAGCCGGGATTCACGTCGTCAACTTAGGTATTTCGACAACAAAAATCTGTTTTCGTATGAAGACAAATAAAAATTTCAAATCTCCACGGGGGACTTAATTACGCCTCCCGAAAAACACAAAGTAGTCTTCCAATATAGATCGAACCAAAAACGGGTCGACACTCGGCTCCGATTTATCTCATTTGGTTCATCCGATTTGAAGGTGAAACGGACCCTGGTGGGTCTCCCTCCTTCCCAAACCACGAACTCAACTCGGACGCAGATCAATTCATAAACGAGATCCTCAAGTACATGCGGATCGTAAAGCAGACCATCCAGGACCTCACACCCAAGTTCATCGTTCTCGAGCTAATCGACCGAGTAAGAGACTACATCCCCACCCGCACCCACCTTCCCCCACCCGCAACCCAAGGGAAAACTTAGAGGTAACGCATGGATTCCGTTCTTCCAGCTCATGGTGTACATCGAAGAGAAACTTCAGGTGCAGATCCAGAAAGGAAACGACATGGTGAGTCCGAAACGACGATATCTTTTACTGGTTAGTCTCATGAGGCCATCTAAAATTCTATGAATTATATTAATATACACATGAATTTAATATAAAATTCTATGAATATATCACATGATGATGCGCTCATTCAAGCGGAAATATTCGTGGGTGGACCGATCTGGCCATAGTTCTCCTCTCATCAACGTTCCTATATTCGTGTACTTCACAAATTACAGTCAAATTCATAGCCAGGTACAAAACTTCAACATTTCATATTCACATTCATTCATTTAAATGAATGAAGTGATTGAAGTAATTCCTGACAAAGTCCTTCCAAACGTTCGTTGCCCCGCGTCAGATACGATTCATCCCCGAAATAAGCTGATACGATATCGAAGCAGATGGGAACGCTTGTCACTTAAGATTGCAGGAAACATTCAAAGTGAATTATCCAGGCGCTCCCTCGGTGACAGGATGAGCTGATGAAGCCGGGAGGAGGCGAGGAGCTGAAGAGGAGGTCGCTGCTGAGGGAGTACGAGATGACGGAGGAGGCGCTGGGCATCATCAACGGGCTTGGCTAGGCCGGCACGGATTCCGCTTCGGAATTTCCTTTTCCATATCTTTCTCTTCTCGAGATTCTCCGGGCTTGTCTGTCTTGTTACGTTTCGTGGGAATGGAGGGATGTGTATATACGTTCATATAGTTTACTAGCGAGTTTGTTTGCCTTCGGGCACACAAACTCGCAATGGTCGCGCCTTTGGCGCTCTATTACCTTGTATAGTGATTAATTCATTCATTTTTTGCGAAATGGGAAACATGTATTTAAAGCACGTTCCCACTGAAATACGTGACACATGGGGTCGAAAGTCTTGATTTTTCTCAAAATTGATTTTTTCCTCTTTGATTCTGTGTGCCTAACTGGAAATCTTTTCTTTTGTTCCTTTTTGCAAGAGTGGAGAATACATTTTGAAATACTTCCCTCCAATAATATACACTAAGGAGACATATTTCAAAATTAGGATTTTTCCTCTACTCAACCATCAAACCGGTACTTCTAAGGGAAGTCCAAATTTTCTGTCTGTTTCGTTGGTTAAAAAAAAAATCCAGGAAAATGGGACTGAAACAAGTGTCCTAATTTGTTTTAACGAAATTTTTATTATTATTTTGAAATGTAGACTCAAGGAACTCCATGCCATCCAGTTTCATCCTTACACGTTTCCCCTTTTTGCTGGGGGAAAAAAATTATTGGGAAAAGCCGACCCACCTAAAAGCCATGCCCGGAGGGGATGCCCCATGAAAGCTGAATACTTCCTCAGCTCAGTAACTATACGTGTTCCGAGTTTCACCTTTTCATTTCTGTGCAACAATTTTTTTTTCGAAACATCACCCCTCGAAAAAATTCCCCTAGGGGATGCATCGAGACTTAACATTTTTTATTTAACTCTTTGTCTCATTAGTCACATTCATGCAAAGTTCATCCATTTAACTGATGCAAAAAAATTAGTTTAAAACGTCTCCCTTTGAAATTTTTGCCTCCAGGGCATTTACTTCTTTAGTCTGATGTTTTCTGCAGCATCCCAATAGGGAGTTATGTACCAAGTTACATCTTTCCACACTAGCTCAATACGCAACGAGGAAAGAGGGTCACTTCCCTGGATTAGACTTCTAAATTGCAGACGAAAAATATTGGAAAGAAACACTATTCATGAAAATTTCAAAGGAATGATGGGCGGGGCTTTGCAATTTGTATATGCTGGAATGTTCTCGAAGCTTCTGCCCTCGGTGAATATATGGGGGCTTCTGCCATCAGTTGGCTGCCATGGCTCCGATCGAACGAGCAACTCTTCGCCCCATCGTCTACTACAAGTTCCTCCAAGGACACTCTGCGAGAGCAGCCGCGGACAACATCTGCGCTGCATTCAAGGGCAACGTCGTCCACTACTCCACGGTGTCTCGATGGTTGAAACGCTTGGAATCTGGCGATACGACCTTCTTAGGTCGACCACGCTCGGGACGTCCATCTACAGTCGCTGACGAAGCCCTGCGTTCCGCCCTCGACGCGAAACCGAACGCCACCACTCGCGAATCGGCGACTACACTTGCAGTCACCCATGTGGCCATCGGCAACCATCTGAACGACATCGGCTATCGGAAGGTTTACTCGACGTGGGTCCCTCATCTGCTCGGCGACTTTGACAAAGCAAGCCGTGTCGGTGTCTGCGAATCACTGCTCCTTCGTCCGCACAGAAAGGACCTTCTGAAGGAAATTATTACTGGAGATGAGAGCTGGGTCCTCTACGTCGACCACACTCGCAATAGTCAGTGGCTTCCACGAGGAGAATTCCCGCCACAACAAACCGAAACCAGGGTTCCACGAGAAGAAGGTTCTTCTCTGCTGTCGGTGGGATTCACAAGGAATGTTGTCCTATGAGCTCCTGCCAACCGGTACCACCGTGACTGCCGTCGTCTACATCGCTCGACTTCAGAAGTTGGCTGGCGTCATTCAAAAAGAGCGTCCCAAACGCGACAAAGTTTTCTCCTTCTGCTTGACAACGCTCGTCCATGTGTTGCGAAGATGACTCGCCAGACGATTTCGGAATTGGGCTGGGAAGTTTCAACCAATCCAACGTATTCTCCAGACTTGGCCCCTTCCGACTATCACTTGTTTCTTGCCCTCAAGAATCACCTGCGGGACGAGGCACAAGACGATGGAGCACAGCTCGAAAATGATGTCGGCCGTTTCTTCGCTTCGCGATCGCCAGAGATCTGGGCAAAGGGTATCGAGCAGTTACCCGTGCGTTGGGAACATGTCATAGT